AGATATGAGAACTATTTGGTGGTTTTTTTTTACATTTTACCCTGTCAATGCATAAATAAATGCTTCCTTCAATAAAATCAAATGAAATAGCGTTCGGCTTCGACGCTGCATGTATTTATTGAAGAGTTTGACTTTGTTTTGAAGTTTAAAAACACCAATCGACTTGTGATACATTTGGATCGAATTGGTCGTCTTTGAATATACGTGAAGAGAGGAGGTCGCAGAATTGAGCTGAGATATTGTTTACCAGGTCTTGGTGCCGCATTATGGCCTTACTCTTTTTATCCTTTGTTCCATGGTTTTGATATAAAGACCACAAGAAAGGGCTTGACGATAGGGTAACAAACAAATTGAGGAGAGCGACAGTCGTTTGGCGATTTGAATTGCTAATAGCTAGGCAAAGCATTAAATTGTCATTGTCATATGTTTGTAAGGCAAATTTGCTTGTAAACTCTGTCATAGACTTTAGAAAACGTAAGTAGCTTACAAGGTAGTTGTGACTATTTTCAGCCACAGAAATCTGCACTTCTTACACTAGTGTGTTCCCAATCTAAGGACATTAATTATTTTGAAAAGACTTCAAAGCATCGACTGAGTGAGCCTTGAAGCTTTGAGTTTCTTTGAGTGTAGTTATCAACTGTTAAATGTCGTAAATAGTCACAAGTAACGCTAGAAGCCAAAGAACTCATATTTTTATTTAAACTTTTCAGTGCCACAACCCATTTTTGAGATTAGTTGAGGGGCGAGGGTAAAAGCTAAACTAAGTCCTTCAAAATTTATGGCTATCAATAACGAAACAGTTGAAGCAAAGTAGTTTCATCCAGTAAAGCACTTTTGCACGGCGATCAGAAAATGTTTTTCGTTTTTCAGGATTCGGAAATCAAGAATAGGAAAAAAAAGCCAAAATTTTACGAACATCATATCTAGGGGATGCTTGTTTCTTAACCAGACCTTTTAGAGCATGCATTTTAATCAAAGGTTTAATCCGCGTTACCGATATAAAGTAAATGCCTACTTTATATCGGTGACGCGGATGCTATGCTGGAAAGGACGGGACACCTTTTGTAATTTTAAGCTTTTTGAGTTATTCCTTGTTGGAATAGACTCTTATATTTTTTTAAACGCATATCCCACTAGTTTTTAAGCATTATTTTGATGAAAAATGTTGTTGCTGGTTTTTATTAAGCAAAAACGGTGTTAATAAGCAAAAATGTGTGGTAGAGCAAAAATAGATCGCAATAAGTGCAACAAAATGACACCAAACACATAAAGGTTGGGCCACTTAATGGCGCGAACGAAACGCGCCATAACTTTCGCACGCCATATGTGGGCCAATCTTGATTATGATTTGTTGTTCTTTAGTCATTTTGTTGCAATTATTCTGATCTATTTTTCGTCTACGACACATTTTCGCTTAAAAAAGCGACTGTTTGAATCTTTTCAGTCAATTTTTGCTCCTTTTAGAGGTAAAGCTTTGATTATTGTTGTTTATGCACAAAAAATCATCACAAGTTTTCGAGAAATCAAAGAGTTTATCAAACTTTAGCTAAAAGCCTGCATTTCTCCCCACTTTGTTTATTGTTTTTGTTCTGTAGCCAACTTTTCTCCTTTTATTTACAGACTGTTCTTTTCTAATCTTTCAATTTTCAGGCCGAATGGCAGAACTTTCAGGCGAGATGCCCAATCTTCTCAACTTTCCCATGGACAAACTCTACTACGATCTGGTTTTGGAAGTAATTGATGAATTGGATCCAAAAGATGTGGCCGAATTGATCAAAGTTGACAGAGATTTCGATCGATTCTTCTCCAGAAACCAGCACGGATCCTTGGAAAGCAAATCCATTCGATTCACATCCACAGAAAAACCTTGTGCTTTGGCATTCTGAAGATCGAAATTGGGAAGAAAACTACGACTTTGAAGTCACGAAATTCCGTGAATCAACCCCTCTTTGTTTCAATCCCTTATCACAGGATGTTCTTCTCTTGTCACAGGTTGATCGATGTTCGATTTTGAAAATTTCAAAATCTAAGGCTTTTGATGGTAAGAATCTTTCGGAAATTGTAAGAGATGACCTTTTCTTAGCCAAATAGGTTTCATCAATTCAAGGAAAATTTAGGTAATCTTATTTTTTGAGCCCTCAATACTTTGTATTTTTTCAGATTACTTTTGTGACGGCACTTACCTATTTAGTCTATGGTATCTACCTCCGCTTCTTTGCCAAAAATCTGCCTGTCGAGATTGTAAGTATAAAATTTATCGTGATATGTGAATGATATTTTGTAATTTTTTCATCATTCCCCTCTGTCTACGCATAAATAAATACTTCCTTCAAACAATAAAATCAAATTCTTTTTGCCTTTTGTTCCATTGTTTTGATAAAAAGACCATAAGAAAGGGCCTCAAGCTAGGCAAGGTATTAAATTGTCATTGGATTTTGAACTTTGGTCATTTGTCAGCAAAATTCTCGTTTGCAGATTTAAAAAGCTCTAGTTTCTGAGTTTTTCCAAGGACTCAATTGGAGACTCTCAAAACTCTTTTGCGGATATCTCTATTTGGAGACTTTTTCCCACTGAAACAATTTTTATTTCAACATCAAAAAGTTTCGGTTTCACCCCGCATAGATGAATCAAAAAAGAAATTAGCATTGAAAATTGTCATTCGCTATCGTCCTTGTCCTTCGTGTCCTTCTTGTGCTTCTTGTCCATCGCTTGGGCTACTGCAAGGCATCCCGGACAAAGCATGCCACATTCTTCGCCGTCTTTTGAAAGCCAATAAGTCAACACGTCTGGATCTTGACATTCATCGCAATAGTCTGGCATCCTCACCCTCACTTCTGTAACTCAATTTGAGAAAAAGCAAAATAAATGGTTTGACAGGAGCAAAATATTTTTTACGGCATTCGACTCCCCATGTTTGATAGGTTAGAAAAGAAGAATCAAATATCAGAAAAGTTGCTACAAAACAAAAACAATAAGCAAGGTGGGGACAATTGCTGGTTTGTAGCTAAAGTTTGATAAAATCTTTGAATCCTCTAAAACTCGTGAGGATCTTTAGTGCATAAACAACAATGATCAAAGCTTCACATCTGAAAAGAGAAAAAAATTGACTCAAAAGATTTCAACAGTCGCTCTTTTTAAGCAAAAACGTGTCAAAAACGTGTAGACCAAAAATTTGTCATCAAAACAATACTTAAAACCAGTAAAATATGCGCTTAAAAAGATAAAAGTCTATTCAAACCAGGGAAAGCTGCAAAAGCTCAAAATATGGCAGAAAAGATCACCTATAACTTTCGGGGAGAAGAGAAGAATGATTTCCCAAGCGCAAAATTTCCTTTTTATCCCATCAATTGGCACCGTAACCCACTAGGTTGTTATTTAGAATTCGAGCTCGGGTGTTTGGCTCACATTCTTTTGCAACTCTGTAATCCATGTTTTCATTGAGATTTTTGGGAAGTTTAAATTTTTGTCAATTCACGAAAGAAAAGTGTCAGCTTGGCCACAAAAATTTGGGAAACATGCTATTTTGCGCTTCCGGACACGACTCGGAAGAAAAACCCCTATTTTGCAAGGTTGGATTTGCGCAAAAAAGATGGAATTTTTGGTAAATTCTATGTACCGTAGACACTGCAATAGAACTTCACTCCGTAGGAACGAGAAAGAGAAGACAAGGTCGCAGAATTGAGCTGAAAATTATGTAGTATTTCTTGGCGTCACATTCCCGCTTCAACCTTTTTGCCTTTTTTTTCCATTCTTTTATAAAATTACCTTATTACTTTGACTTTGCACACTTATAACTTTTGACAGAGTGCTCATCAGCAGATTCGGAATCAGCGTAAAATTCCGTGAAATTTTTGGGAAATTTCGTGACTACAATCATTTAAGCGGTATAATCAAAAAGATCATTATCATCATGCCAATCTCCTAGTTTGATGTCAATCAAATGGATTTGTTTTCCAAAAATCCGTGCTGGTTTCTGGAGAAGAATCCATCGAAATCTTCTGTCAACTCTCATCAATTCGGGCACATCTTTTGGCTCCAACTCATCGATTACTTCCAAAACCAGATCGTAGCAGAAAGTTCTTCATCCATTTGTTAATTTGCCATTGTCCCGGCTTTGCAAAGGCCCTGGGGAAGACAAAATGGTAAAAGACAAGTGGTTCCTGAGTTGTCACTCGGAATTCCGGAATTCAGTATCAACTGAATCGCCGATTTGACAACTGTTGAAGTTGAAAGTGAATTTAATGTTAAAACAAGATATCACAAGGATAAAATTTCCCTTTTCCTTGAGGCGATTGAGCCGCGCCTGTATCGCATCCATTCGTTCGATCAGTGGCACAGCAGATGAGTCGGCAAAAAAGGAGATGCCTTCGTTGCTCGTGGGTTTAGTTGTTAAAGAGACGCAACACTCAGCCTGCAAGGTCTAAACAAATATTGCACGCCAAAAATGGAAAAACATAGTTGATGGTAATGGCGAATATCTTTTGCAATAAAGTTTTTTCTTATTGGTTTTTGGGTTGTTCGAATGTTGGTTATAATCCACTGTTTCTTTTGGAAGTACCTAATAGTCCGAAAAAGAAGAGAGATGAGCAGCTAAAAAAAGGAAGACGAAAAGAAGAAAAACACGCGAAAGAGCCACAAAGAGACGAAATATCGAGTGATTTCGAGAGACTCCGAGAAAGGTTCTTTTCGAAAGAGGCAAAAGAGGGGAAGGGAAAACAAGTGTCGACTCCGTTTTCAGAATTTTCGAGAACCTCCCGGAAACCCCATCGAATCCTATATAAACCGACGGTTCACTCTAGCAATCATCAACTCAAATCAACACATCTTGCTATCAACGACTACCTTTACGTTTCCCAATGTCACTTCTTCTTTTTCCGTCGAACAATTTCTGTCGTCCATTCGGCCATCGACATCCCTTCAATGACATCTTCGAAACGATCAATTCATTGGAAAGGGCTTTCGATGGACCAACAATCCATCGAGACCTTCAGCAACAAGAAATGGTATGTTTTTAAGGCAAATTTGCTTGTTAACTCTGTCATAGACTTTTGAAAACGGAAGTAGCTTATAAGGTAGCTTAACTTTTTCAATGCCAGAACTCACTTTTTAGATTTCGTTGAGCGACGAGGGTTTCTCCGTGAAATGCGACGTCTCCTCGTATAAACCCGATGAATTGAAATTGCGATTGGACGGGGATGTTTTGTCGATTGAAGGAGAGCACAAAGAGGAGAATGAACAGGTGAAAAATTAAAGTCAATTACAGAGTATAGTCAATTCAATTTGAAGAACCTTAATCTTAATGTTCAACCATAAAATTTGATGCTAGTTATTCTAGAAAAGCGTTCCTTTCTTCACCCCATTCAGCCCCACATATTTCAGGGCTCCGTCCACCTCCGTTTGCAACGTTCCATCCGAATTCCCGTGGATCAAATCGATCTCTCGTCACTTCAATCATCACTCGATCAACATGGAAATCTCTCAATTCATGCCCCATTGATTGAAAAGAAGAAACAACTGAATGGGCAAGAGATTCCCATTCAAATTACCGGCCAACAAAAGGAAACAGGAACAATCGAGAATTAACAGCATCCAAAACTCTCAACTACCCTAATTGAACTTTCTCTTTACCACATTTTTCTGTGCTACCTTTTCGATTTGAAAAATGCTTCTCAACTCACATTTTTAGTGTAATTTTTGCTGTGTGATTCTGCTTTTGTGAATACTTAATAAATTATTGTATTTTAAGTTAGAAAAACAAAAAAACACGTTTGCAAGCAAAATAAACAATCAAGATATGTATAACATCATCCAGAAAACAACAATTTTTGAAACCCAAACCTTTTTTTTCTTTTAGGAGTGATGACGAGAACAAAAGGGAATTGGATTAGAAAGTGCAACAAGCAATCGTCAATGGACGTAATCAGGGAAGGACTCACGCAGAATTAGCAGTTCAATTTGGTGTTTCGAATCAAGGCGGAAGGCAGGCTAGAATTCGTAAAGTTCTATCTGATCTACTTACTCCATTTGATTATCCTCATTTATTAGGGTTACTCGAATTGTTGGCAACTCAGAAAGCACGCACAAGTACTATCGACCGAGAAATATGTCTCATATCGACCATCGAAAAACTCAACTGATGAAACTGAGAAGCCAAAGGAACAACGGAAGAAGTGAATTGGATAACAGCTTTTTTTTTTGCTAGATCCCGAATTCCAATTTGAAACTTTCGACTTCCAAGTCTAAGAAACAAGAAGAAGTTACAAAAATTGAAAGAAAACACCTAAGTAGAGCTAGTTATATGTGTAATGCAGCGAATGTTTCAGAATGCGGACTGTCAAAAGGATTCGGATTGCGGTATGGGCGAAAGCTGCGTGCAACAATGCTATCCACAATATTGGAACTACTGTGACAACGTTTGTCGCCAAAAAGTCCACATCGAAGCGATCGTCAAGAAGGCTCAAAAATAATGATAGAATCTTAACAAAAACTTATCCGTATTTGAAAAGCACATGAAGTATTTTTGAGAAAGTATTTTAGCATTTTTTTTTAAAATTTATCGTTTGAATGAATCATTTTTGAGCATAGGCAACAGATTTCATGCAAATGAGATTCGATCGCAGTCATTTCGAGTCAAACCCAACTGTTCCGGACGCCTCTAAACGAGCCACTTGTGCTTGGCCAATCAAAAGAGGCAGGCAGATCAGTCGATTGGGGGTTTTAATGAAATACCGACAAACCGAACATCAAGAAAAATTTAAAGTATGGATTACAATTGAAGAAATCCGAACTAAACACCCAAGCGAATCTTTTAATCACTTGACACGATTTGAGGCTTTTGAGCCTCAACCTATCTAAAACCTCACATTATGGATCCAGCCAGATCGATTTTGTTATTTATGGATCACAACTAGTATTTTTACACACTTTTTACTATCCGCTACAGTATGAAAGAAGCACCTCCTTTAAGTTCAAACTCTACGTCTGATTTCAGATTGGAATCGACTCGATCATTGTCCATAAGTTAGTTGTCGAGTTATTCATTTATCATATGTAGTCAATGGCCTCATCATATGATAAAGGACCCTGGAATCGAGCTGTTCAATCAACCAAGAATCTCATCCGCAATGCATCCAATTGTTATTTAATTTTCAATGTTACAATTTTGATGCAAAGCTAGCGTTATTCTTGTTTTCTGGATGAGTTATACATATTTTGAATGTGTAGCCTCGCCCCTCGTCACTCAACGAAATCTAAAAAATGTGTTCTGGCATTGAAAAAGTTAAACAAAAAAATGAGTTCCTTGGCTTCCAGCGGTACTTGTGGCATTCGAGTTGATAACTACACTCAAAGAAACTCAAAGCTTCAAGTCTCACTCACTCGATGCTTAGAAGTCTTTTCAAAATACTTACGTTTTCAAAAGTCTACGACAGAGTTTACAAGCAAATTTGCCTTCAAAACATATGACAATGACAATTTAATGCTTTGCCTAGCTATTAGCAATTCAAATCGCCAAACGACTGTCATTCTCCTAAATTTGTTTGTTACCCTATCATCAAGCCCTTTCTTGTGGTCTTTATAACAAAACCATGGAAAAAAGGTAAAAGAGTAAGGCCATAATGCGACACCAAGACCTGGTAAACAATATTTCAGCTCACTTCTGCGATCTCCTCTCTTCACGTATATTCAAAGACGACCAATTCGATCCAAATGTATCACAAGTCGATTGGTGTTTTTAAAGTTTAAAACAAAGTTAAACTCTTCAATAAATACATGCAGCGTCGAAGCCGAACGCTATTTCATTTGATTTTATTGATTGAAGAATTTATTTATGCATAGACAGAGTAGAAGGTGAAAAAAAAATCACAAAATAGTACTCATATCTCACAATAGAACATCCACAAATAAAATCTCGTACTCAACACTTTAAATTTCGACAGGCACATTTTTGGGAAAAAAGCGCAAGTAAGTGCCATAGACTGAATAAGTCCTGTCATAAAAGTAATTTGAAAAATATAAAGTATTGGGGCATCAACAGACAAAGCTAGAATTGAATCGATGCAACATATTTGGCGAAGAAAAAGTAATCGTTCACAACATAAATACAGTCACGCTTCTCGTCGATTCTTTTCAAATAGCAATCAAATGAACCATAAAGAGAAACATAATGCTCAACCCCTCTCTTGATTGGACCAAATCTGAATGAATGTAGAAACGAATTAGAACAAGAACGAGAATGATCCAAATCAAAACGAGAATCATCAGAATCAGAACGAGCCTCCTCAGAAACAGAAAGAGATTCTGCAGAGAAAGAAATAGAACGCGAATCATCAGAACAAGAACGATCACAACTATCAAAAATAAACCCGTGTTTTCTCAGCGTCTCCATCATTGTATCCTCGATGAAAGTCTTGTTTGGTTCGTTGACCTGACGAATTTCAGGAAAGTGCTTGATCAAATTGTTAGTTTCCACTCCCATTTGGCCTCGCACGAAACAAGCTGCTTCTTTATTTTTACTCGGAATTCCGGAATTCAGAATCAATTCTATTGTCGATTTGACACTTCCGAAAGGATTTGATTTGACACTTCCAAATCACAAATAACTCCAGTTGAGTCTTCGAAAGTGCTTCATAAACTGTTGGATAAAAATCAGGATCATCATAAAGTTTCACTGAGATCATTTTGCAATTTTGAAGGCTTCCATTGATCAAAGACAATATAAGTCGTTGATGTGTCTCTCCTCGCAAATCGGAAAACCTCAATGATGCTCGATCGGTGACTTCAGCTTTCAAATTCCACAAAAAATCGTTGAAATTGTTCCCATAGATCTGAACTTTCAACTCGTCGACTTATTTCAAATTGGCAAAGGCCTTTTTTGAGTGCCGAAAGTTCTCCCTCAACCAAGAAGTCATACTCTATATCAGAAATGAACAAAACCGAACATCGTTCAACCTGTGACAGGAGAAGGACTTCATGTGCCTCGAAATCAAATGGAAGCGGCCGTGATTCAGCGAATTTCATGATCGAGAATAGATCCTCGTAGCGTTTGCGCCTGTCATCCAGATCCATCTCGAAGCCAATCAAATGGATTTGTTTTCCAAAAATCCGTGCTGGTTTCTGGAGCAGAATCCATCGAAATCTTCTGTCAACTTTCATCAATTCGGGCACATCTTTTGGCTCCAACCCATCGATTACCTCCAAAACCAGATCGTAGCAGAGTTTTCCCATCGGGAATTTGAGAAGATTGGGCATCTCGAGTGGAAGTTCTGCCATTCTGCCTGAAAATCGAAAAATTAGAAAAGAAAAGAACAATCGGTAAATATCTGGAAGAAAAGTTGGCTACGAAACAAAAACAATCAACAAGGTGGGGACAAATGCGGGTTTTTAGCTAAAGTTTGATAAAATCTTTGATTTCTCTAAAACTTGTGATGCTTGTGATGATTCAGTGCATAAACAACAATAATCAAAGTTTTACTTCTAAAAGGTGCTAAAATTGAGTCAAAAGATTTCAACAGTCGCCCTTTTTCAGCAAAAACGTGTCGTAGACCAAAAATAGGCCATTTGTCATCAAAACGATGCTTAAAACCAGTAAGATATGCGCTTAAAAAGATATAAAAGTCTATTCTAACATGGGACAACACAAAAAGCTCAAAATATGGCTGAAAAGAACGCCAATAACTTTCGGAGAGAAGAGAAGAATGATTTCCCAAGCGCAAAATTTCCGCTTTACCCCATCAATTGGTACTGTAGCTCATGAGGTTGTTATTTAGAATTCGAATTTGGGTGTTTGGCTCCCTTTTTTTTGCAACTCGTAATCCATGGTTTCGCTGAGGTTTTTGAGATTTTTAAATTTTTGTCAATTCACAAAAGAAAAATGACAGCTTGGCCACAAAATTTCGAGAAGAAACCATTTTTCGCTTCTGGACGCGATTCAGAAGAAAAACCCCTATTTTGCAAGGCTGGATTTGTGCAAAAAAAGTGAATTTTTGGTAAATTCTATGTACGGTAAATTCTGTGATAGAACTACATTCCATAGGAACGAGAAAGAGAAAAGAGAAGACAAGATCACAGAATTGAGCTGAAAATTATTTACTAGCTCTTGGCGTCGCATTACAGCTCCACTCTTTTTGCCTTTTTCCCGATTCTTTGATAAAATTACCTTATTACTTCTACTTTGCTCGCTTATGACTCTGGACAGAGTGCTCATCAGGAGATTCGGGATCAGCGTGAAATTCCGCGTCGAATGGTAGATGGCTCGTGTCATTCGGTCATCACGCCCGGTTGGCATTCCCTTGTTAATATTTTTACTTTGGCCTACTAATTAGACACAGATTCGGGTTGGTTTGCATTGAACGAAAAAGTAACTTTTGACTAGGTTCAATTTACAATTAGCCAAAAATGACACATTTCGGATTGTTTAGGTTCAACTGAAACCAAAAGAACGTTGGGTTCAAAGGGAAATTCTGCCTGATGTCGGATAAAAGTTGTGGTCTTACCTCTTCCTTCCAATAAGCAACCTTGCCTGATGCCCGATCGATGAATTCAGCTTTGAAATTGTCCAAATACTCGTTGAATCTGTTTCCATAGATCCTCACATCCAACTCGTGGACTCAATCTGGCGAAGATCTTCTGGAGCCCCGAAAGCCTCAGGCGAAAGCTCCTTCTCAAGATGAGTGTCGCCACATCCACTTGTGAAATCGTCAAATTTTCAAAAATTTATTTTTTTGGATCGATTTCGTTCGATTTTCTTTGGATCTTCTTTCGATTTCCCTTCATCCGATTAAAACTCGGGAATCTCATTGCTTAATGTTAGATAAAGCGGGCTGGTTAAATACCTTAATAAATACTTTTCATTCTTTCCCGGACAAAAGCAGAGTAAAAAGCAGGTGAGATAACCGCCGAAAACGAGTGCTATTAGGACGATGAGGAGAGCGCGAATACACATG